TAAAGACTATAATTACTTTTTTCTTCCTCTGCACACACTTAATTCCTCTGATACCAGATATGTGAGGTTTTTTTTCCTTGTATACGACCAGTTCTGTGACATCAGCTGGGTGTTCTACAATTCTGACACCATTTACCTGGAGTTAGCATCAAACGCCACAGGCTAAATTCTCAGTCCCACAAAACTCCTACCTTAGACACCAGTCACAAGTAGTTGGTCCCCAGGTTACCTATGTTCTGTTTGACTTGGCTTCAGATTAGTAGTTCTCTTGACCCACTCAAGTTTGATAATTTGCTCTAATGGCTCACAACTCAGGTAAACACTTTTTATTAGTTTATTATATTAAAGGCTATGATAAAGAGGTGTATAGAGCACACTTGTATAGTCTGGAAAAGTCCCAAGCCAGAAGTTTCTGCCTTGTGGAGTTAAGATGTACCACCCTCCCAGCGTATGGATATGTTCATCAACCTGGAAGCTATCCAGACCTTGTACTTCGGAATTTTTATGGCAGTTTCATCAGGTAGGCTTGATTGTTTGTTAACTTAATCTCCAGTCCCTCATATATATCTTTCTAGAGGATGGGACATGGGGCTCCAAGTTGCAAGCTTCTCATCATGACTTAGTCTTTCTGGCCCATCCTGAAGTCAGTCTGGAGCCCACCAAGAGTCATCTCTTTAGAACAAAAGATGCTCCTGTCACCTAGAAAATGCCAAGTGATACAGGAGCTCTTTGTCAGGAACTGGGTCAGAGACCAAGTATTAGAACAAAAGATGCTTCTAGGATCTTACCTTGCTCTTTGAATTGACTTGTTAATCTATGCATCATTTAGTAACACAATGCATTGGTAATTTGGAAAAAATTTCTTGCCAAATGTTTGAAGAACATCTACATTACAAAACAAATAGAAATTGTTAATATCACTTGATTTCACCAGAAAAGCCTTTAAAGTATTAGGAAGATATCTCTGTCATAGTGATAGAAACAAGTTTTCTGAAGTTGCAACTTCTGCTTGAAAATTCCATAGTTATCATTGGCAGCAAATAGTCTCATTTGTTTTTCAAGTGACAGGCTCCCCTTTTTTTGAGAAAATGTCTGTCAAATACTGATGTCTGATTAATCATAGTTTGTAGTTTATCAGTTGTAATATCAAGTAAAAATAGTGCTCCATGAAAAAAATTGAGTTCAACTTGCAGCTCAAGCAACGCACTAGTGTTTTTTTCTTTAGCAACAGAACTACTATGCATATGTCCAGTTTTGTCACATAGAAGTAAAAGACCATGTAAAACAGTGTTTGAGATTTCATAAAATTAATTTTCTCTTAATAAGGATTTAAGAGAGATTGGCTTTTTTTTTTTGAATTATGAATGTGTATAGTTGTGATATAATGAATTGCTTATATAACTTGCTTCTGCTACCTTGATTTGTGCCAAGACACAGTGGTTTAATGCCCTGTTGTTTTGCATAATAACTGTAAATGTGACCATAGCAGGAAAGACAGATAACATCATAACATTTTTTATGAGAGCGTTTTTTACTTAAGGAACCCCTTCTGTTACAGAGTCCCTGGGGAACCCCTAGAATTCATGGGTTACACTTGGGTACTGCTAGAATGGAGGGGAGACCACTGAATTTAATAATTTGAGGACTTAAATTTGAAGCCTGTCTACCTTTCTTTTATTCTTATGATATTAGATTTAATTTCTCGCAACTTCAGTTATTTTGTTTACGAAATAGGGTTAAAAGCATCTTGCCTTACTTTTTGCTTTTGTGTTTCTCGAGTTATGATTGCTGAATTATGAAAAGCTCGAAATATAACTTGCTGCTATTTCTAAGTGAGTTTCTGCTCTAGCCAGCTTAGTTTACTTGTCAGTCGTGAAACAGAAAACACTTTAGATAATTTCGAAGAAGAAATTTAATACAGGGGACTAGATTGTTTAAAAAAAAAAAATCTGTGGGAGCACTTGAGGAAGGATCTCTAGCTCAGCTTTCTGAAATGACTCCCAGATTCTTGCAGGACTGGCCAGCCATCGAAGCTACTCCATCTGCCACAGTCAGGGAGACAGTGAATCAGGAGACTGCCTGTGGGACAGTTGAGAACATAGCTTTATAGCTGTTGCCCACGGTGATCCAGCCAGGATCAGGTGACTGCCACTAAGCTGCGCCTGGACACTGGAGCACAGAGTCTGGTTACTGCTTCTGCTGTCTCTCTTGACATCCTGAAGCTGGAAGCTGGATTGCTTCTGTGGAGCAGCTCACATCTGTTCAGTCATGCTGGGAAAAAAACAGCCAAAAGCAGCAGGAGAGTGCCTTCCTTCTCATAGCTGCCTTTCACATCTCAAGCTATAGTATATGCGATTGGTGGAACCTAAATTTTATCCAAAACCGTAACTACAGGTGAATCAGGAAAATAGGTTGCTGTGTTTAATCTTTTCGGCTCTGTCATTGAAGAAAGCATACTAGGAACATGAGATGGTGGAATCTGAGGGGCTAATTGATCAAGTCCTCCAAACCTGTTTGCCTCTTTGTGATTTTCAAGTTATTTTCTTTACTTTATTGTTCACTCTTTAGTCATCCAAGTTTTAAGTCATTTTTAATGACCATGATCTCATTTTTATGAGGCCATTTCATGCCTCTCTAGTTTAGCTTCTTTAATCAATATTTCAGCTGGACTTAAATGATGACGCACACTTGTGACTCCATCCATCTACAGCTGTGGTTTGGTGGACTTGTAAACCAGACATAGCCTCACTGCAGTGGTTCTGTAACTCTGTTCCACATTTTACTTGGTTGAATTTTTTTAGACCTGCCTGCAATGCTGGAGATCTGGGTTTGATCTCTAGGTTGGGAAGATCCCCTGGAGAAGGGCACAGCTACCCAGTCCAGTATTCTGGCCTGGAGAATTCCATGGACTGTATAGTTCATGGGGTCGTGAAGAATTGGGACGCAACTGAGCGACTTTCACTTTATTGCACTTTTGTAAGGTTTTATTGTACTGTCTAAAGAATTAAAAAAATCTTCTATGGCCAGCTGTTATTTCTAATATTTTTAGTATTCTTACAAGCTACTGTTTGGAGGAAAAAGTGTATATAACAATAGAAGTAGACTTTTGAATCTATTGATGTATTTTATTTATTACTAAGTGTGAAAAAAGTTTTTTTAATAGTTACATATAATCCTTAACTAGATGGGCTTCCCTTGTGACTCAGCTCGTAAAGAATCTGCCTGCAATGCAGGAGACCTGGGTTCGATCCCCGGGTTGGGAAGATCCTCTGGAGAAGGGAAGGGCTACCCACTCCAGTATTCTGGCCTGGACAATTCCGTGGACTGTATAGTCCATGGGGTCACAAAGAGTCGGACACGACTGAGTGACTTTGACTTTCACTTTGGGCTTTCCTGATAGCTCAATTGGTAAAGCATCTGCCTGCAATTCAGGAGACCCTGGTTCGATTCCTGGGTCGGGAAAATCGGCCGGAGAAGGGATAGGCTACCCACTCCAGTACTCTTGGGCTTCCCTTGTGGCTCAGCTGGTAAAGAATCTGCCCGCAATGCAGGAGACCTGGGTTTGATCTCTGAGTTGGGATGATCCCCCGGAGAAGGGAAAGGCTACCCACTCCAGTATTCTGGCCTGGAGAATTCCATGGACTGTGTAGTCCATGGGGTCACAAAGAGTCAGACACTACTGAGGGACTTTCACTTCACTTTCAGATGGTAGAATGCAGACACCTTATGTCCCACTCCTTACTCCTTTTTCTTGTTTCACTCTTGTAATACTTGGATTACAAAGGAAAAAAATAATTTAACATGTCTCAAATACAAATAAACAAAATGAATAAAAAACTTGTCCAAAATACTAACCAGCATAATCCCAGCGATGCAAAGATAAGGTAGTAACAGCTATACTTCTTTCTCTTTCTCATCCTTTTATTTTGTAATCTCCTACTTAGCAACATGTTATGGTTTGCCATTGTTTAAATGATAATAGGTATAATTGATCTCTTTTGGGTTAAGGAAATAGATCAATAAATGTTGGGAAATTGGATTACAAAGCACTTTTTCTGAATGTGGTAATAGTTATAGACTTTATTCTTTTGAGAAAGAATACTTACAGCATCAAGACTATTTTATTCTCACTGAAGAAAACATTTCATTTAGTAGTGTGTATTTTATTTTTATGAAATGAAAACTTCTTTTTATAATTAAAAAACATAGAACAGAAATTAGAAAGCGAGGGATCTTTATACTTTCTTTTCCCCCCAATCCTCCTTCTCAAAATTAACCATTGTTGACAGCTTCATACATTCTTTCAGGCTTTAAAAGTGTATATAAGTATCTGTTGTCAGTTGGGCTTCCCTGGTGGCCCAGCAGTAAAGTGTCCATCTGCAGTGCAGGAGACCTGGGTTCGATCCTTGGGTCAGGAAGATCCCCTGGAGGAGTCATGGCAACCAACTCCAGTATTTTTACCTGAAATCCCATGAACAGTGGAGCCTAGTGGGCCACGGTCCATATGGTTGCAAAAGAATTGAATATGACTTAGTGACTAAACAACATGGCCAATTAGTTTCTGGAACATAACTTTGAGAGCTCATTTAATTATCATACTTTGATAAATGTCTAGGTTGTATGGACTAACTGAAATGTGTATATGAGGGTTAACTTCAGAAAGCATAAATTTAAATGTTTAATTATTGCTTTCAATTTTTGTTATTATAGAACCTGTTTTTAGCAGTCTTTCTGCTTATTAGCTTTTAATCAGAGACTTCATAGTACTGTGTCTTCTCTAATGAAAAATATCTATGCTCTTGATTTTATAGGGAAGAACATTAAATTTCAAAGTATAACCAATTTAAAATGTGTTTGCATTCTCTTTGGGGAGGTTCCTGTACAGAATTAAGTTGGCGCTGGGTTTGATTTGAAAGGGTATATTGGTTATAAAATCTACATTAGGAGTTACCTTTCATTTTGTTTGACTTAATTTTGAGAAACATAGTTTTGCTTTTCAGATGTGATTGATCTTACTGGAGATGATAAAGATGATCTTCAGAGAGCAATTGCCTTGAGTTTGGCGGAATCAAACAGGGCATTCAGGGAGACTGGAATAACTGATGAGGAGCAAGCCATTAGCAGGTAAAAATGCAATTTGTATAGATATAAGTACTGTTTATAATAGAAATAATAATTATCTTTAACTTGAAGAGGCACAAAGATATACTTTATTATTCTAAATAAACTATTAGTAAACTTCAGTATTGTTGTTATATTTTATGTAACCAGAATGTTCATATTTTGGATCTAATTGCATGTGAATCTTAGATTTAGTTTTGGAGTGGCATTTTGAGGCATAAAATTTAAGCGTATATTTTAATATTACTTTGATTTTTTTTTTCTTCCCTAACTCCTTTTGGATCCATTGTCCAATTCATCTTATAGTCATTTATAGCAGGGATCAGCTGACTTTATCTGTAACATGCCAGTTGTAAATATTTTAGGCTTTGTTGGCCATCTGGTTTCTGTTGCAGTTACTCAACTCCAGCGTTATAGTGTAAAGTAACTGATAATACATAAGTTAATGAGTACAGTTGTGTTCCAGTAAATCTTGATTTACAAAAACATAGCCAGCCAACTGGATTTCGCCCATAAGCCATAGTTTGCCTACTTCTGATCTTTAATATGATAGTATATTCATAGGTTTTTTTTTAAAGAAATGAGCAAGATTCCAAGAAGTGTGATAGAAGGCATCTTTTGATTTAATTACCAAAGCTGTTTAGTTTGAAACAGTTTGATCCACCAAAGGATTAAATAAGTTTGGTTTTAAAAAAAAAAACTTTAAATTATAACAGACTATAATCATCTATACAACTCTTTGGAGCCGGGGGCAATTTAATCTTACTGTGGACGAAATTTATCTTTGCAGAGGTTAAATGATTTTCCAAAGGTACACAACTAAGATGAGTCTTACAACTCCAGTGTTCTTTTCCCTGTTAACAGAGGTGTTTCGTAGCAGAATGTACCAGCTTTCTCAGATAATTTCCCTTGACACGGTATTTAATAGTGTGTTTCTAAGTAATCTGAAATTACTATATGATAGGAGATGTCTCAAAATGCTATGTTTATTAGCAAAGGCACATAATTTATCATAGTAATACCTTTTAATGTCTAAATGTTACTTTGGAAACTGATTTGTAAGATATTAAGATGGTAAGAATTAATTAAAATTCATATTCTTCTTTAACGGTAGCTAATATCATTTAATGCCAGTAATTTTAAATGAAAACCAAAAGTGCATATCTATTTTCAGTCATTTTATTTAGGCTGATTTTTTGAAGGATTTGGAGAAATTATAAAGTTAAGTTTTGTCTTATAAACATGAATTGGAATTGATATAATTGTCTTGAATATAAAATTTGATAATACTTAAACTTTGTAAGAAATATTTTTAAACATGAAATATATCAGTTGAAATTCATATTTAAGGGGAATGAGGATCTATTATGTGAAAAAGAGATATTAAATGTAATATACAAATTTGGCCTTGGAGTATGGAATGAAGCAGGGCAAAGGCTAATAGAGTTTTGCCAAGACAACACACTGGTCAGAGCAAACACCCTCTTCCAACAACACAAGAGGAGACTCTACACATGGACATCACCAGATGGTCGACACTGAAATCAGATTGATTATATTCTTTGCAGTCAAAGATGGAGAAGCTCTATACAGTCAGCAAAAACAAGACCGGGAGCTGACTGTGGCTCAGATCATGAACTCCTTAGTGCCAAATTCAGACTTAAACTCAAGAAAGTAGGGAAAACCACTGTACCATTCAGGTATGACCTAAATCAAATCCCTTATGACTATACAGTGGAAGTGAGAAATAGATTTAAGGGACTAGATCTGATAGAGAGCCTGATGAACTATGGACTGAGGTTCATGACATTGTACAGGAGACAGGATTCAAGACCATCCCCATGGAAAAGAAATGCAAAAAGGCAAAATGGTTGTCTGAGAAGGCCTAACAAATAGCTGTGAAAAGAAGAGAAGTGAAAAGCAAAGGAGAAAAGGAAGGATATTCCCATTTGAACGTAGAGTTCCAAAGAATAGCCAGGAAAGATAAGAAAGCCTTCCTCATGCAAAGAAATGCAAAGAAAGAGGAAAACAACAGAATGGGAACGACTAGAGACCCCTTCAAGAAAATTAGAGATACCAAGGGAACATTTCACGCAAAGGTATGTTTGATAAAGGACAGAAATGGTATGGACTTAACAGAAGCAGAAGATATTAAGAAGAGGTGGCAAGAATACACAGAAGAACTGTACAAAAAAGATCTTCACGACCCAGATAATCACAATGGTGTGATCATTCACCTAGAGCCAGACATCCTGGAATGTGAAGTCAAATGGGCCTTGGAAAGCATCATTACGAACAAAGCTAGTGGATGTGATGGAATTCCGGTTGAGCTATTTCAAATCCTAAAAGATGATGCTGTGAAAGTACTGCACTCAGTATGCTAGCAAATCTGGAAAACTCAGCAGTGGCCACAGGACTGGAAAAGGTCAGTTTTCATTCCAGTCCCAAAGAAAGGCAATCCCAAAGAATGCTCAAACTACCGCACAATTGCACTCATCTCACACACTAGTAAAGTAATGCTCAAAATTCTCCAATCCAAGGTTCTGCAATTCGTGAACCATGAACTTCCAGATGTTCAAGCTGGTTTTAGAAAGGCAGAGGAACCAGAGGTCAAATTGCCAACATTCGCTGGATCATCGAAAAAGCAAGAGAGTTCCAGAAAAACATCTATTTCTGGTTTGTTGACTGCACCAAAGCCTCCGACTGTGTGGATCACAACAAACTGTCGAAAATTCTTAGAGATGGGAAAACCAGACCACCTGACCTGCCTCCTGAGAAATCTGTATGCAAGTCAGGAAGCAACAGTTAGAGCTGGACATGGAACAAGAGACTGGTTCCAAATAGGAAAAGGAGTACGTCAAGGCTGTATATTGTCACCCTGCTTATTTAACTTATGTGCAGAGTACATCATGAGAAACGCTGGGCTGGAAGAAGCACAAACTGGAATCAAGATAGCCGGCAGAAATGTCAATAACCTCAGATATGCAGATGACACCACCCTTATGGCAGAAAGTGAAGATGAACTAAAAAGCCTCTTGATGAAAGTGAAAGAGGAGAGTGAAAAAGTTGGCTTAAAATTCAACATTCAGAAAACTAAGATCATGGCATCTGGTCCCATCACCTCATGGGAAATAGATGGGGAGACAGTGGAAACAGTGTCAGACTTTATTTTTTTGGACTCCAAAATCAGTGCAGATGGTAACTGCAGCCATGAAATTAAAAGACGTTTACTCCTTGGAAGGAAAGTTTTGACCATCCTAGACAGAATATTAAAAAGCAGAGACATTACTTTGCCAACAAAGGTTCGTCTGGTCAAGGCTATGATTTTTTCCAGTGGTCATGTATGGATGTGACAGTTGGACTGTGAGGAAAGCTGAGCACCGAAAAATTGATGCTTTTGAACTATGGTGTTGGAGAAGACTTGAGAGTCCCTTGGACTGCAAGGAGATCCAACCAGTCCATCCTAAAGGAGATCAGCCCTGAGTGTTCATTGGAAGGACTGACACTGATGCTGAAGCTCCAGTACTTTGGCCACCTCATGCAAAGAGTTGACTCACTGGAAAAGACCCTGATGCTGGGAGGGATTGGGGGCAGGAGGAGAAGGGGCCGACAGAGGATGAGATGGCTGGATAGCATCACCGACTCAATGGGCATGAGTTTGAGCAAACTCCAGGAGTTGGTGATGGACAGGGAGGCCTGGCGTGCTGTGATTCATGGGGTCGCAAAGAGTCGGACACGACAAAGGAAATGAACTGAACTGAACTGATGATTTCCCAGGTGGCACTCGTGGTAAAGTGCATGCCAGTGCAGGAGACATAAGAGACTTGAGTTCTATCCCTGGGTCTGGAAGATTCCCTAGCTGAGAGCATAGTAACCCACTCCAGTATTGTTGCCTGGAGAATCCCATGCACGCAGGAGCCTGGCAGGCTGCAGTCCGTGGGTTTCAAGGAGTCAGACACCACTGAAGCAATTTAGCACACTCATATACTGTGATACAAATATTTTTTAAAGTACATGTATAATATTGTATATACTGATTTTCATTACTGCATAAATAGAAACAAGGCTGGAGGATTATATACCAAGTTAGTATCAGTAGTTTTATATCTTGTGTTTTATAATTAAAATTGAATATAATAATCAGGTAAAAAAATTGAAAGTAAAGGAGTTTATATTATTCCTAATCTTATTACATTCACTGTATGTTATATATTTTTTAAGATATTAATTTTTGTCTAAATGGAAAAAATCTCTTTAAGACAATGTTCTTTCTTTTTCTTGATCTTTTAATTTTAGCATACCCTTAAATAATAAATATTTTGCAAGTATTGTTCTTGTAGATAACATTACAGAGACTTGGTATAGTGTTATATGCAAAATTTTACATAAAATTATACTCCGTTAAAGTAGGAATATTTACTGTTGCACAGTAATTTTTTTCTTGGTATGTGTAGGTTTTATAATACCAGGTAACAGAAAATGTTAAATGCAACCTGCAGTAAATAAGCATATTTATAAATCACATTGTATTAGAAATAAGGAAGGATGAGCATTCTAGTTAGACGTTTGACAACTACAATATTCTAGTGAATTTTATTAAGACTTAAGGCTCTAAAGTCAAAGGGTAAAATATATCTAAACATATATTTTTTCAAAAGTATTTTTAAAAGTGAATTTAACTATTTGATGACAAAATCTTACTAAATAAAATCCCCGTGTCATTTATTATGATATTTTTTCAGTATATATACTTTAATATGAATTCACACATTTTGAATACTATGTTACCGTGTATAACTAGATATGCTAAAACCTGTCTTTTTACATCATAGTGTCGTCTGTTTCAGCACCCATAAATTTCATAGTAAAGTTTCTAAAGTTAAACATTTTAAAAGTGTACTTCTTAATATAAATACTTTTTTAACGTCAGGATTGGATGTATTTATTACTGCTCAGACAGGGAACGAGTGTGGATAGCTGAAATTTGTTAGTAAGTTGCATGT